TTTAAACTTGACTTCAGAAGGGTTGAGATCATCCCAGTACTTATCAACGAATTTTACGTCACGAGAATTGATCGTTGAATCGGTTGATTCTGTGCTGGACGATGAAAATTCGATCGTTTCTGATTGATCATCGCTGAAATCATAATTATATAGCTTCTCTAATTCTTGATCTTGAGTAACATCGGACTCTTGGAATTTGTGGAGTTTCTCTGATGCTTGTGTTGATTCATTTTCGGGCGACAAATCTTGGAATTTGAATGGTTGAACTTGAGTTGCACCGTTTTCTGATGGTTGATCTCGAGTTGCACCGTTTTCAGGCGACTCTTGGATTTTTTGAACTTGAGTTGCACCGTTTTCTGATGGCTGATCTTGAGTTACACCGTTTTCGGGCGGCTCTTGGATTTTCTGGGGTATCTTTGATGGTTGAACTTGATTTGCACCGTTTTCTGATGGTTGATCTAGAGTTGCACCGTTTTCGGGCGACTCTTGGATTTTCTGGAGTATCTCTGATGCTCGAGTAGATTCATTTTCGGGCGATAAAGCTTGGAACTTTTCTGATGGTTGAACTTGAATTGCAGCGTTTTCTGATGGTTGATCTTGAGTTGCACCGTTTTCGGATGGTTGATCTTGAGTTGCACCGTTTTCAGGCGACTCTAGGATTTTTTGGAGTATCTCTGATGCTCGAATAGATTCATTTTCGGGCGACAAACCTTGGGATTTGTGGAACTTTTCTGATGGTTGAACTTGAATTGCACCGTTTTCTGATGGTTGATCTTGAGTTGCACCGTTTTCGGGCGACTCTTGGATTTTCTGGGGTTTCTCTGATGGTTGAACTTGAGTTGCACCGTTTTCTGATGGTTGATCTTGAGTTACATCGTTTTCGGGCGACTCTTGGATGATCTGGGGTATCTCTGATGGTTGTACTTGAGTTGCACCGTTTTCTGGTGCTTGATCTCGAGTTACACCGTTTTCGGGCGACTCTTGGATTTTCTGGAGCTTCTCGGATGTTTGATCTTGCGTTACATCATTGTCTTGATGATCTGAAGGTTGACTTTGAAGATGATTTTGTTTTTCGGATTGAGCAACGCCATGTTCAGCGGAATTCGAGGTTCTGTCATGTGACTCACCCCTTTGATTCGAGCGAGAAGGATCGTTGAAATTGTCCAATGGCGATGATACATCTTTTTTTTTTTCTTCTGAAGATAACATGAGAGATCTTTCTTGAGATTTCTTATTTTTATTTTTTTGAGAGTTTTTTTTTTTTCGTTCTCTGTGAAATTTCTTAATGGGATCTTTTAATTTTATTTTTTTAAGATATTTTTTCATATTTTTGAGTTTATATATAATACGGTGGAGTTTGTCCCTGAACTTTCTTAGTGATATCAAAACTATGATATATTATTTTACAAAGGTAAATGATTTTTTTTTTTTTTGCGGTGAAAAAAAAATTTCCAAAAAGTCAGAATATTATATAACACTTGTTGGAGCGTCATTTGGGCGTCATTTCGAAGTCGGCAACTAATAGTGATATAACAATCTTTCTGCCCATATGTAAAGTAAATTTGAGAACAATCTTAGCCAATCAGCGATCAAAAAACTTACGTTTTTCTGAGCAAACGGCTTGTTAAACATGTGAAAAAGATTATGATAAAGTTCAAACGTTGAAGAATCCATATACTTGTTTGATTTGAAATCAAAATTGAAGATAAATTTCAATAAATAATCCTGTGTGGAGAAGCGTCGTCATAATTAAATAACAACGAATTGTTGAATATTATAAATCGGGTCCGGACCAATCCGGGCCAGGCATTGGTGTATGTTTTGGCCGGCGCAGTGCATCAGTCTAGCCTAAACATTCGAGTTCGGACAAATTGACGAATTTACTTTTTAAAGTTTGCAATTCATAGATTTTTATGGTGAAAATGCTTGTCACCCGCTTTATATATAAAAAAAAAAAAATTTGTTTTTCGAATTTGTCAAACATAATACCTTATCGTTATGTTTCAAAACCTAAGAAAAATAATAAATCAATAAGAAGAGACAGAAATAGCAGTCATTGACAATTCTTTCTTGATAATGTCTAAAGTTGTAAAGTGAAAGATTAAATTCATATTACTAACCGTTGTTAAGCCGGACCAATAAATTGGAAATATTAGTGTAAAAATTGATTTATTAAAAAGAATATAATTACTTTGACATTTATATAGAAATGCATTATAAATTTTGCTTTCTTAATAAAATGTTTAATTTATTTAAAGATAATAAAATATTACTCGTTAGAATTATTATGACAATCTGCATTAAATAGCAATAAATTCAAATTTCAAGGAATGATAGATAACTAGTTATTTTAAAATATTTCTAAACCATTACTTCTAATAACAATTCATTCTATTAATGCTAAATTTTGAAATTAAAATAATTTAAACATATTATTTTTTATCTTTTTATATTCATAAAATAATAAAATATTTTTTATATTTTTATATAATAAAATTAATAAAATTTTTAAATTATATTTTTTAGTAAAATTTATGTTTTAATGTGCAAAGTTATTAAACTATTAATTACTTTATAATTAATCTTGAAAATTAGTATATTAAAATCATTATAATAATCTATATTAAATAATTATCCACAAAGATGTCCTGCATATTAATCATCTAATAGAATTCTACATTATTAGTCATGTGTATTTATTTTACAAAATTAAACATTAAAAAATCAAACACAACAAAAAATTGAACATAAATTAAATTTTTATTATAAGTCTTATATGTTTCGAACTAGAATGATTACCATTCCCTAGTATTAATTCAATTTTTAACATTAATAAATAAATGTTATCAGCAAATATTAATTTAAAAATATTTTAAAATAACTAATTATTTATTAATCCTAAAAATATAAATTTTACTACTATTTAATACAATTATCATGATGATTTTAACAAATTATATTTTAATTTCTACAATTATTAGTTATAATATTATAATTTCACTTATTTAATTAAAATATAGAGGATGAATAAAAGTATTTGCACACTTTTTTACTCAATATAAAACTTAAAATTTTTTTGCATTAATAATAAAAAATCAATTAATATTTTATTTAAAGCTAATTAATATCTACATTTTATATTAAATAACTAGTATTTAATTAGTCACCATTTGTAATATACTTACTATTAATTAGGATTTTGATAATATGCTTCAAAATTTCTTACTATGCTTTTTTAACATATCAATAAAGATCAGCAAGATTAGATAAAGATTTTTATAAGCTCAGATGTTTTTCTTGACTTCAATCTCAATTGGATTGAAATCAGTACTTTGAGTTGGCTAAAATAATATACGAAGATTATTTTCACTTGAAAAGACATTGCAGTTAATTCTTTAGTTTTTCCTTTTTTTTTAAATTTTTGAAGAAAAAAACAAATTGTTATTCTTTATTTTATGATATAAATAAATACTTAAATATCATATAAATGTGATTTGTTATTATAATCATATAATTTTACTAGCATTAATTCACGTTTTATAGAGAGTGTATGGATACTTTTATCTACCTTCTGTAATTTAAAAAATACTTTTATTTTTAAAATAATTATAATTATTAATATTTATATAATATAATAATTAAATATATAAATTTTATTTTATTATATATATACTTAATAATAATAAAAAAATTTTTAAAAATTTTTTATTTTATATGTTAATATTAAAATTATTATTAATTATATATTTTAATTTTAAAATTTAGAATTAAATACTTATTATAATAGATTAATATAATGTAATATATATGATATAAAATTTACAAATATAATATTTCTAATATTTTAATAGAATTGATATAATAAATATAATAAGTATATATATAATATATTAAATAAATCAGTTATATTTATTATTATTAAATTAAATAATTATAACTAAGGAACTGTAACCATTCTAGTCTAAAACATAACAGGACTTATAATAAAATTAATAATTTATTTTTTAATGTTTAATTTTTGTGAAACACACATAATTAGTAATGTATAATTTATTAGTTGATTAATATGTAAGATAAAACAATATTGTTCTGATATAGAAATTAATTATCTTTATACTTTGAACAAAAAATATATTTAATTGTCTGAAGCATAAGAACAATTAATTTTTATGTCAAAGCAATGTAACGTCATTCTATCTTGCATATTTATTAACTAATAGGATTTTGTGTTACTGATTATATATATTACACAAAAATTGAATATTAAAAAATTAAATAAATTATTAATTTTTATTATGCTTCAGATTAGAATAGTTACCGTTCCTTAGTTTTAATTAAAAATTAAAAGTAAATTTATTCAATGCAAGGTGATACTCCTTATATATCATTATATTTATATCCTTTACCTAACTTATTCTAATTCTAACCTAATTCTAAACTATATGATACTAATAGAAATAACAGAAAGGTTTTACATATGACATATCTGTACAATTTTGGAATGAGTCAATTGATATATCTCATTTAACTATATAAAATTTATATAAAATTGACACACATATACCTGAGAAGTTGGATTAGACATAATAAAACTTTTCAAAAATAAGCAAATATGAAAAAATTTCTAAGTCTTCAGAAAAATGGAAAAAAAGAAGATATATTAACTTTTTCATATTTTTTATCTGCTTTTTCAGTTATTTATAATTACAAGTAATTTAATTAAAAAACAAAAAGCGAAAATTAATTATTAAAATAATAATAATATAGGTGACAAAAGTAAGATAATGATACTACATATATAATAAATAAATTATTTTAAAAATTAAATATTATCTTTAAATAATAATATATAAAAACATATATAAATAAAAGTAATTATTAAAAAATTTTAAAAAATCATATTATAAACTTTATATATATAGATAACATTCAAAAAAATATATTATATATATATATATTTATAAAAAAAAAATTGAATATTTTAGTTATAAGTAAAATTATTATATGAAAAGTATCAAATTTTAATTAGAAATCATAAAAATATAAATTTTAATTTAATAATTTTATGATTATTTTTTATATTATAAAATATTAAAATACATTTATTTAATTTTTATACATTTAATCTTTATATATTCAAATTAAGAATACAGTATATGGATTTTAATAAGATAATAAATTTAATTACCATTTGGTTGTTACCAACATAAATATGATTAACTACAAAATGTAAGCAAAGCTTATTTTTTTAATATTGACATTTTATAAACGCTTAAAACCGTCAGTAAAAACGATTCCCAAAGCTCGTTTTTGAAGTTATATACGTATTGTAATTTAAGAAAAGCGAGCATACTTATATACATTATCCAAACAAAGAGAATTTTTATTTATGCATAAAAAATACAGATTCGATTTGATAAAGTAAAAAAATTTTTTTATTTAAACAGGTGATCTTATTTAAATTTTAGGTATCTTTAAGGTTTTACTAACCATAGCCATTCCGCTCAATCCATATAATGAAACCAAAGGATGAAATGTAAAACCTTGAGGTAATTCAATTTTCCCACCAAGTAAATTCTCATCTATACGTTTGTTTTTGACAAGATAAGCAATTAACGCAACTATACTCAGGCTCGTTGGTATTGGTGTGCCTTCAAAATAGTGAACTTTGCCGGAATTATCTTTGGGAAGGGACGCTACTGTTGCATTATAGCGTGCTAGACGAGCGATTCCACAAGATATGAAAATTATTAAAATAACTGAATCCAAGAAAGTTTGCATGCCAACCGCAAAAGCACATACTGCTGGAGCAACACCAAATGATATCTACAACGTTGCAAAACATACAATTATAAAAAATTTAATGTAAATTTGTATGTAAAATGATATAACTTACCAAGTCCGCTAAAGAATCCAATTCCTGTCCCAAGATACTAGAGGTCCTTCTCCATCTTGCTACTTTCCCATCAAAAAGATCAAATATCATTCCTAATGGCATTAAAAATAAGCTTATCCAAAGAAAATTTTCATCTCGTGTGATCAAATATTTTATGCTCGAAAAAATTGAAGAAGAGCCACATGCACCATTTGCTATTGTAATAACGTCTGCAAGATGAAAATTGCTAAATAAAAAACATTTGGAAATTTTATAATTATTTAAATTTATAAAGATCAATTATTTTATCGAATTTTAAGCTTACCGTACTAGA